TCCTTCCTTCATTAATGTATTCCTTCCGTCCTTCCCACCTTCCTTCCTTCCTTCCTTCCTTCCTTCCTTCCTTCCTTCCTTCCTTCCTTCCTTCCTTCCTTCCTCATCCAGATAATGTTGATATCCAAAGTGAAAACTTCAGTACATACTTATATTTCATTCAGTCTTTCACTATGATGCTCCAGTTGGGACTTAGATCTTTTCATAATCCATCTCTCCATCTTGAAGGAGGCCATCCCAGTAGAAATGTGTAATTATAGGGCAACAGTTGGCTAGATCATTGTTTCTTTTCCAAAGAAGTCTCCATGGTGGTTAGGGTTAAAACTAATAACACAGTAAACTAGGAAACATCTAACATTTGAGCAATGCCATAAAAATAGCTCATTCCAGATTCAACTGACAGGCTATTTACTTCCCTAACTGTGGTCTTGAGTAGATGACAAAATTTAGGAGGCCAGGAGAATCTTGAGGGCCTGAGAGTTCCCATTTGTCTAGGGCAGTGGTTCTTAACAATTATGGTGTCACAGACCCCTTTGATAAGCTGATGAAAAATTAATGCAATTGTGACAAAGAATTATATCTCTCTCACTCTTGTTTTTCATGCAAAAATTAACGGCTACTTCCTGGAAAAAAAAAAACCAAATCGTCCATACAAAGGCAACAGTAAACTTTATATCTGCTCAATAAATAAATTTCCATGAGAAGTTCCAAGTGGTTATTTGGCTTGAATAAGAAGTTGAAACTGTGGGGAAGACATCCAGTCAACTTTGACTTTTCATCTTGACTATAAGTAGTGCTGGAAATCCTGACTTACAACGGTGTATAGTAGCATGGAATCAGAGGTCCCATAGCTCATTTTGCCAGACAAGAGTAAGCCTGTATTAAGAAACACTTGAGTTTTGCAACACACTTCAGCGGCTTCACTCCCAGCCTGCAAATGTCTGAAAGCCCATCCACAGACCCCACAGATTAAAAGCCACTGGCCTAGGGTATGTATGTGCAAAAAAGGTCTCAGGATTTTGGGTACAAAACGTCCTATTCTGAACATTTTGGAGGTGTTTTGAACTTGAAGCAACTCTGTTTTCAAGTGCAAGACACTTCCCAAATGCTTGAAACAGTTCAAATTCAAACATTTTGGGCAGCCCTAATTGAGGGACTTAGGTTTTTCAACTTTTCTGTTAAATGCATTGGTTTTCTCTTCTGTTTTCCAGTGGAGTTATATTGAGATAGAACCCTCTGGTTTTTTCAGAAACCTCTTGGTGCAAAGCTGATGGTTGGCTGGTGAAGAAAGGAAGCAGGTAGAAAGGGCTGACATTTGCAAATTCTGCAGCTGATGGAGGCAGTGCTGTAAAGTTGTGAATGATATTGTGGTCATGAAAACAAGTTTGCTCCTTTAACTCCCTCCTTCGTGAAGATCCCATAAAAAAAGCTTTAGGGAATATCTGCTGCTGCTCAAGGTTGTACGTGACCTTAGTTTTCCCAGATGGCTTGTTCTTTTTAAGTTTGATGGGTATCTGCATAGAAGAGGCTTTGTGAGTCTGAGTGAATGGCTTCCTGCTGTTGTATGCCTTATCTGTGTCTTTTCAGATGTGGAAAAACTTGGGGCAAATGCTAATATTGCCAACTGCGTTTGCTGGGGGTGGGGGCGGTTTATCTCCAGGCAGCAGTGGCACTAATCAAACTATCTGGGGAATACCCTTAAGACCTCCCTGCCTTTTTTCTTTACCATCTTCCCACTTAGCTTTTGTTACCTGTTACGAGCATTTGAATTTAGCCACGGGTGATACCACTGTCTTTGACTAACAGAACGCAAGCTCCCCATAATGTGGACACTGTGCCGCTTTGCCACAAAGAGGAAGATACTGGCAGGGTTAGCACATTGAATAAGCTTAGTTGGTTTGGCTCTGGCTTAGAATAACTGTGCAGATGCGGCCAGTTATGGTTTGTAAACCACGGTATGTGGCTTTGTGTACTGTTTAAGGCCAGATCCTTTTGATTTATTGGGTAAACCATTGTTAAACAAGCATATCCAGAATTAAACAAACCATGACTCTCAACTTCTTCAGAGCTGAGACTTGCCACAAGACGCCCCCAAAGCTATAGTAGAAGGCTAGAGTTTGGTTAGCTCAATACATAATAAGATGCCCAATCAAAAATAGTAGTATCATAAACCACATTTAGATTAATCTGATTTTCTGGTTTCATTTCCTAGTAGTGTTTCTCCACATAAGAACAGTTCCTACATGTCTAAATGTTCATCCGCTTTACAGTGAAGGTACATATGCTTCCTCTTGCCCATAAGCGTTACACCTTCTTCCATCAATGGCAGAATGGTTTCTGTTTGTATGCTTTACAGTTGGGGAGCCTTTGTATCTTTATCTTAGGCATCTGGATAGCATTGCAAAGAAGAGCATTATGAGGGTTTCTTGGCATGCCATTGAAAGACAGAGCAAACTGGGCTCATTCTCAAGACTTAAAATGTCTGTGATTCCCTTTAGGTCTTTCTTTTTCTTCCCAAAGAACTGTGTTTCTACTTCAGATTTCACTGGGGAAGGCGAGTTGGTTCAAGGGTCAGGAAGGTGAGAACCCCAGCAGTAGCTGCGCTGTTGAACATCTGGTAAAGATGTTGAGAGAGCAAAATATA